TGAAACATTGTTTTTGCTGTTTCATGCATAAAATTCATTGCTTCTTTACCAATCCTGTTTCTGTATATGGCCATCAATTATCGTCCTGTAGTTGCATCACGAATTATAGCTTCTTGATTTTTTTCAATAACATGTGGCAAAAAATCTGATGCATGTGCTGTTTTTGCTGTAGAAGGCAAAGTATTTGTTCCTTCAACTATCCACAGTTTTTGTCGTGTAGCTTGTCCTTTGACATAAGAAGCAAGAGGCTTTAAATAAATCGTTTCAACATTCAAAACTTTCACAAAAGCATTTGTTGTTAAAAGATTTTTTTGTACCTTAATTATAAAACAAATTAATAAATAGTTTAAATATATATCAATATACAATATTTATATACTTACAAAAATTTTTTTCAAGTGTCTTTTCTTTTTCTTTTTTATTAAAATATCTTGTCGTAAACATGCAAATTTTTCAATTTTACATATATCCAAGTAACGATTAAAATATCTCCATTTATTATTCTATATAAATGTACAGTTTGAATAAATAAATATAACAAGTGTACTTATTTTACAAAAACAATAAATACACTTACATTTTCTATCGGTAAAATCTTTTCTCCAGTTGCTTGTTTCCAATGAATATGCATATTTTTAACAGGATTCTTTAAAATTTCTTCAAAATTCTTGCTAGATGTTTTTTCAAGTTCCAAAAGGTAAAGGCCAAATTTTTCCATGCTTGCATCTATATAAATTTAAAACCATTTAAACCATATAGCTACTATTTTACTGCTTCTTCCAAAACACCAACATTCTACAAAGCCAGCTGGCAACAAGTGCGTGAGCTCCAATCTTTGCAGGCCAAGAGGGATCACACATGCTGCAAAGAATGCACAACACAACACACAAATGGGCTCTGGCTTTGCAAGCTGCGCACAACCTGCATCAAGAGGGTTTGTGTGCCTGCTGGGCTTTCCTGCCACCAGCAAAGCAGATGCTGTAACTGCCACTTGTCTTGCCTTGCTGCTTCCTGCTTTGGTGTTCCATGCCTTGCTGTTTCTTGCTCTGGTCGCCTGTCATAGTAACAATCGTGGGACACCTGCATGGGGTAAAGAAAAAAACCATGGTTACTAAACGCGAAACAAGCAGGAGGCACGCGAGGTCAATGACGCGCCTGCCAGGCACGGGAGAAGCTGCATTCAGCGGCAGCGCGGCATGGAAGGGAACTGGGTGGGGAGAGAGGTAGGGGAGAGAGTAGAGAAGAAAAAGGTAGTGGGAATGGGATCGGGAGAGAGGGAGGCCGGAGAAGAACACGGTGAAAGGGAAGGGGAATGTAGGAAACGGAGCGAGAGAAAACGGAAATGTGAAAGGGGAAACGGGAAAGAGGGAACGGGGAAGGGGAACGGCAGGGAAATGGAAAAGAGGGAACAGGAAAAGGGAAACGGAAGAGGGAACGGGAAAAGGAAAACGGAAGAGAGGGAACGGAGAAAGAAAATGGAAGAGAGGAACGGGAATGGGAGAGAGGGAATGGGGGGGAAGGAAATATGAACAGGGGGAAGGAAATGCGAACGGGGTGCGAACGGGAAAAAAGGAAAAGGAGCAAGAAACAGGGAACAAGGGAAGAAACAGAAAAGGAACAAGGGAACGAAAGAAAGGGAATGAATGAGAGCGGGAGAGGGACAAGAGAACGGGAGAGAGGAAACGAACGGAAACGGGAGAGGAACAAGGGAACAGGAGAGAGGGAACGTACGGGAGTGGAAGAGGGGCAGGGGAACGGGAGAAAGAGAAAGGAAACGAGTGCGGAAACGGACACAAGGGAGGAACAGGAGAAAAAAAAGGAACAGGGAAAAAAGAAAAAAAATAGGAGAGGGAAAAGGAGCAAGGACAAAAAAGAGGCATGTGAAGAAACAACAAAAAAATACTTACACAGGTCTTGAAACGAAAAAAAAGATATGTAAAAATCTGTAACTAAAAAAATTTTTTATATCTTTTTTTTTTAATTTATTTGAGTTTTAATTATGTAATTTAAAATGTAAAAAAAAAAAAAAAATTTAATGTTAATTTTTTTAAATTTTAAATTTATAAAATATTTTTTGTATTTTTTTTAAATAAATTTTTATTTATATAATAAATAATTAAAAAATTATATTTAATTTAAAAAATACAGTATTATTTAAATATATATATATATATATATTTGTAGATAAATACCTTTCTTTATTTATTGGTATAATAATAGATATACATTATATGTTTAAAAATATTTTTTATAATAAATATAAATATATAGCATATAAGAATTATATTTGGTTAAATTTTAATAGCAATTTGTCTATATATATAAGGTTAATAAATACTTGCATTTGTAGTTTGGTTAGAGGTTAAAAAAAAAAACAATTTGTTTATATATTGTAATTATATTTTTTTTATTAATTATAAATTTTTATAAATTTTTATTAATTACGTAATTGTTTTGTTAATATAATTTTGTTAATTATAATATTTTAATAATAATAGTTTTTAATAATAGCAATTTTTTAATAGCAACAATTTTTTATTAATTATAATATATATATATAATATATAATAATAATATTTTTTAAATTATATTGTATAGGTCAAGTAATATAAAACAAGCTGTTAATAATTATTATTTATATGATTATATTGTTATAAAAAATTTTAATTAATAATATAGTTATTAATTGTTGATTATTTATTAAATATTATTCAATAATTTTATTATAATATAATTTTTTAAAAAACAATAAAATAAATGTTGTTTTTTTAAATTACTGTTATATATAAAATAAAAATATTATATAATTACAATATTGTAAAATTTTTTTTTCTAATTACAGTTTTTTAAATTTTTGTTATATATAAAACTTTTTTAAATAAATATAAATAAATGTAATTTTTTACTATTGCAGTTTCTTATTAACTATAATTTTTTATTGCTATAATTTTTTATTAATTGTAGTTTCCTGCTATTAAAATTTATTATTAATTATAATTTTTTACAAATTTTTTATTAATTATGTTTTGTTATTAATTATGGCTACAATTATATACATATCTAAAAATAACCTATCAATAGATATTCTGCAATATGTACAGTTTAGCTCTAGTATAAAACCTTAGAATTCAGTATATTATTGTTTTATTTGTATAAAAATTAATAAATATAGCAATTGCAGTCTGATTAGAGGCAAAAAAAAAATAATTAATTAATTATGATTACTATTAAGATTTCAATTACAGTTTTTTATTAATTACAATTTCATATTAATTATGATTTTATATTAATTATGATTTCATATTAATTACGATTTCATATTAATTATGATTTTATATTAATTACGATTTCGTATTAATTACGATTTCATATTAATTACAACTTCGTATTAATTACGATTTCGTATTAATTACGATTTCATATTAATTATGATTTCGTATTAATTACGATTTCATATTAATTACGATTTCATATTAATTATGACTTCATATTAATTATGATTTCTTATTTAATTCAAATATAGATATCGTATTATTATTAAAAATCGTATTAATTCGGAAATTAAAAATATAATTCCATCACATGTATAGTACATTCTAAGGATCGGTGATAACAGCAACTGGAATACTGGAGTTAATCTCTATAATAATATTCCATAATGTGCCCAACCCATGACAGATACAATCGAGACTGGACCTAGTAGGTTAAGTGGTTTAAACTAGTAATAGGATTTCTACCTCCTATATAAGTCCCACCTGACATATGAATTATCTACTTGATGTTTAAAATTTTATATAGCTAGATATGTCAAAGAGCAATAGGCAACAATTTATTTAAGTTCTATGTATCTTAAAGATTGTTAATGTAATGATGATAAACTATTTTTAATAAATGTCTCGCATTTAATGCCTATTTGTATTTAAAATAATAATAATAATAATTAATCAAGATTAACAATAGCAAATATCTTAATTATATTAGAAATAAAATAGTCTAGAGCTATAACAAAGTTATAAAAGAAAAAAAATAAATAAAAAAAATTTTTTTTTAAAACACTAGCTAGGTCTTGCCCTTTATACTTTATTAATTTTAAGTTTTTACATATGTTGTTAGTACAATCATATTATAACTATAATTTTCTTATATAAAGAACTATATTGGATTTTTGAATCAAATATTAGCTTTGAGCTATTTAATTTATTCTAAAATCTCAATTTTGTAAAAAGGATTAAAAACTAATGTGCCAAGGCTCTATTAGTATTAGTAAATAGTATATTTAAGAAATTGTTATACTTTTTATTCCATTTGAACTCGATATATTATTTGATCATTTTTCTTGTCCACATCTCTGCTATTGTCTTCTTCTTTTGATTACTTCGTAACCTGGTTTTTTCTTTGTTTCTCCCTTTCTATAAGATTGTTTTTGCCTTTTTTTTTCCCATTGTAATGTTATGTTTTCTTTCCCACTCCATTGCTTTTCCACATCTTTTCTTTCATTACTTTTTAATTGTTTCTTCCATGTGTTTTGTTATTGCCTCGCATGTTTCCTTAACTTTTGTTTCTATTCAATTCTTGATGTATTCTGTTGTTTCTTTTGTAAATATTCCTTTTGTTATCAGATTTCTTATATGTTCTGAGTCTATGAGCTTGTAATTTATTTGACCTTTTCTTGTAGTGTTTTTTTTCTTCTTGCTTTTGGCACTTGTTTCTTATCTAATTGTCTTGTTGTATTCTTCGATAATTTTTTCCTTCCAGTGCTCATATATGAGATGTTGTAGTGTTTCTTCTTTGTTATAGTATAGGCATGTTGCTTTTGTATAGAGGTCTGACTTTCTTGTTTTCATCCTGTCATATATTGGTATTTCTTCATTTAGGATTCTATATTTGAAGCTTTTGCTGCTGTGATCTTGTCTGTCTGTTTTGCTGCTAGTTATTTTTGATAGTTGTTTGGTCTGGAATATTATATTCCAATCTATTTCTGGTTCTCTTCCATTCATGATTCAGACCATATACCTGTTTTGTATTACTCATCTTGCTGACCATTTGGCACTCTGTTGTCTTTTAATCAGGCTATTGATATCTGTGTCCAATGTAGTGTTTTCCCATATCATATGGTAGTGTATATTTTTTGTTTCCAGTTGGACTTTGATTTCTTTCCCTTGATACATACTGATACCTTCCTTTGCAAGTTTATCTGTCTCTTCATTTTCTTCTATTCCTGAATATGCTTTCACTTTTGACAATTTTGTTTTCCCTGTTCTTTTCTTGATTGTGTTTTTAATATGTTTAATCATAATCCAGTTTGGTATGTGTATTATGTATCTGTTGTTATATTTGCTTTTTTTAGTATTGTGATAATGAGACTGAGGATTGCTATAAGTTCTGCTCTGATAGATGATGGGAAATTTCTTGTATTTGTCTTGAACTTGACTTCCTTTTCTGTTTCCTCATTTGTTACTACCTAGCTGATTCCCATTTTGCATTTGTGTATTCCCAATGTCCTCTACTGATCTGTCTGTATATGTCTTGATTTCTTTCTATTCTTTGGTTGCATCTCATATCTTGTTCAGTTTTGCTGTTGCTTGTTCACCTGCCTTTATGAGTTTCCTTGATTTGGACTTTACTCTATGTTTCTCCTGTGTTGTATTCTGTAGATTGTTATTTTGATTATTGGTTTGTTTTTTCCTGGCTTCTGTGATATTGTTGTAAATAGTGGATGGTGATGTCCAGATTCTATTGAGTGTGCCTGCAATCTTATTATGTAGTTTTGAGCTGTGTTGTATGCAGTTACTGGAATGGTTACTATATTTGTAATATTGAGAGTTTTTGTGCATATTTTATTTTTTAACTCTCTATAAGTGCAACCTGGACATTTCTGCAGTGGGAAATCTCCTGCTATTCTAATAATGTGTTGTATTTTCATCTTGCCATCTTCAATTTTTATGCATTTGTTTCTTTTACCTATGTATATTGTTTGGTCTATAAGTGTTGCTATATAGTTTGCATTCTTGAGATTGTTGTTGTCAGTTGTCTCTAGATGCTATATTGGATTTGGTTGTGTTAGGCCTGAAATAGTATATATGTATCTGTTGGTCAATAGGTCTGGTACCGAGTACTTGCTTTTGATATCTGTGAACCATTTGAATTGTTTACCTGTTGGCTTTTTATCTGCCATTGGTTTGATTTGTTCCCATTCCAACAGGTATGTCTAATACCCATTTGTTAACTGTTCTATGAACATGATGTTGTGTTTATACAGGTTTCTTCTATTATTACTGAATCATTCTTGCCCCATTAGGCTTTCTATTGTATGGAGGTTTCCTTTCGAAAATGTTTTTAGTTCTTTTTTCAGGCTATTTGCTTTCATATTGAAGCCTGCCTCCTTGATAATCTGTTATCAGGAAATTTTTTTGATAAAGATCTCCAGAGATCTCCACCCAAAAAAAATTTTTGAAAATTTCTAGAAAAATCTTTAAAAATTTTCAAAGGTTTTTAAGAATTTTTAATATAGAATTTTTTAAAATAAAAAAACTCCGGAAATTTTTATTTCAAAAAAAATTAAAATTCTTCAAAGTAATAATAATTATTTAATAAATATTCATTACTTTTACCAAATCTTGGAATTATATGAACTAAATTATCTATTG